GTGTGTGTGTGTGTGTGTGTGTGTGTGTGTGTGTGTGTGTGTGTGTGTGGTTTTTCCCTGGCCCGTGTTCCAAGGCCCTGTCTGAAGCTATCAGTCACCAGACAGGAGCAGATGGAACAAGGGGGGCAGAGTAGAATGGCAGCTCCAGCTCCTGCTCCTATTCTGCTTCTCCTCCCAGTCTTGTTCTAGCCTGGGCCTCTGCCTTGTGTCACAGGTGATGCTGAGCTCCTCAGCCCCCTCTGGCCTGCAGCCCAAGGGGTTAGAGGATGCCTCCTGGGTTCAGTGGGACTGGGGTGCACAGCCAGAGTGCTCCTCATAAGAGGCCTGTCACAGGCCAGCCCATCGAATGTGAAAGCAATTAAAGCCACCAGCAGTGTTGGCTCCAGGCAGGCCTCGGGCAGCAGGGCATCTGCCATAACACATCTCACCTCCGAGCCCACAGTGCTGGAGCCCACAGCGCTGGCCCTGCCCCCTGTGGCTGTGCACCAGGCTGGACCTCCTGTGGGGTAGGGGCCAGGCCGCACCAGCCACATATCTGGCAAAAGCTGGCACCTTCCCTGCCTGGCATCCTGGGCATTCCAGACCCACACCTTTCTCAAGACCCCCTCTGGCCCCACCCAACTCTTACTGGCCTCTCTAGTCTCCAGCCCAGGAGGGATTCCCAGGATGCAAGATACAAGGACCCTCCAGTATCCAGCGCAGGCCTGCAGCTGCACCCCTCCCCCCAATTTTGCCCCAGCAGGCAGTGGGTGAGGGTGGAAAAGGGGCTCCACAGAGGAGTTGGAGACACTCAGGAAGATCTTTAAACTGATACTGGACAGCAAGCTGGGCTCCTTGGATTCAGTGCAGTTAGGGCAGGTGGTCTGGAGGAGGCATTTGGGCTGTGCATAGAGAATGGGGAGATGGCCAGGTGATCCTTAGGAGATAACAGGATCCACTGGCATCAGCAGGCTAGGCCAGGCAGCTGGGCCACCACTACAGTACCCCTGGGGTTCGGCTGCCTCAGCCCACAGGGAATAGGGTGGACTGTCCTGAGGATGGACTCATGAGAGTAACAGGACTTGTCACTGAAGCCAACAGTGGACCCAAGGTGTTAGGAGCCCAGTCCCTAGGGATCCCCTTCTCCCCCTCTTAACCCCCCTACCCCTTCCTCAGTCTCCTGTGGTCTCACTCTGACAGTGCCATCATCCTATCCCTGGCCCTCTGGTCCTACTTCCTGGCCTGGGCTGGCCCTCTGCTCCCACAACCCCCTCCCAGCCCTCACTGCTGGTGCTGCAAGATATCGTGGCCTTCCCAGGGCGGGTGGTAGCATGTTCTCACTTGTGAGGCATCCCTGTCAGAAGCACTTAGTGTACAAATTAGCTGTGGCCTCCCTGCCTCCCTGTGCACAGCTCTGGGCGCTGGGCTGATGGATGTGCTCCCGGCCCTCTCGCGCCTGCCCGGGGCACATGGCTGCCCAGTGTGGACCCCTGGCTGCCACCCACATCTGACCAAGAAGGTCTGTCCCCTGCCAACTGGCCAGGGTTATTTGCAGCACCCCCAACCTTGAGCTGTACAAAGATGATCATAGCAGGGGGAATATTCATTGAGGTACTAGGGGACTCAAGGGTAAGGCCAGGATCTGCCCCAAGAGAGGCAAGTCCTGGGTTCAAGGGCAGTGGGGGACCTGGACATGAAACCAGCTCACAGTCCCCCACTTCCCCACCCGCAGCCAGCCTGCCACTCAGGCGGGAAAAATCATCTGTGACAGGCCCAGGAAGGCCGGCCCCGGGGGCCGCGGAGCAACGCGCACAGCTCTTCTTCCCAACATATGGCTGCTGTCGGCCCCAGGCGCTGCTCAACCAGTGCCAGGCTTGGAAACTGGGTGGGGGCTTGAGCAGCCTGAGCCTCATCCCACCTGCCTGCTGCTGGCCCCTCTGGAGAGGCTTCTGCCCCAGCATGGATGCTCTTGTGATGCAACACTCACTTCCACCACAACACGGCCTCTCAGCCCGTCCCAGTTGCCCAAGACACACAGAAGGGCACTGAATCCCGGTTGGCCAGAGTTGTGGAGAATTGTGAATTCTCCAGGGCCCACTGTGAGCCAACCTCTTGCCCAGCCCCCTCAAGCCTGGGCTGTCCTTGCCCATCCAGTCACCCATCTCCCTCTCTTCCCCCTCATATCCCTACTGTGTGCTGGCTGTGGCTCCCCCATGCTGTCACATCCTGGAGCCTCAGCAGGTACAGTCCCTCAAGCACTTTCCGACCATATACCTCAGTCTGTCCCCAGCCTGAGACAAGTAGTAGGAAATCCCAGAGACAGCCCAGGCACTCCAGGTTGAGGCTCTTACATGCACTCGGGGTTGACCAGTTCCTGCACCCATCAGAGTAGTCAAATGAGAGCCAGGCTAAACATGCTGTGCGATACAGACCACCCTAGGGGCCCAGAGTTGCTGCCTTAGTAAATCCAGTCTCATGCTTCAGGCAGAGCCTGGAGGTGGGGTGGGGATGGGTGTCCAGTCTGGCTCCATGCCTTGTTTCTCTACCCACACCTATCTGGGCTAGGGCTACAGTGCTGAGGAGATGAGATCTGTCTGCCCCAGGCACCTTGTGGCTGCGGACCCTGGCCAGCCTGCCCAACCCAAGCTCTGTCCAGCTGGCAACCCCAACAGTAATGGAGTTGACAGGCAGGTAGCCATGGGCAGGCCAAGGGGAAAAGGTTAATGGTGGAGATAAACTTCCAGCTGGGAGGAGAGGCAGTACCCAAGGAGAAGGTCACTGCCACTGCCTAGGATGCCCCTAAGGTCAGGAGCCCCCTAGACAGAGGCTCCACCTCACCCCTTCTACAGAGCGGGTATAGTTCAGGGAGTATGGGCAGGAGTCTTGCAGGTCAGGATACAGGGGTCAAGGAAGTGCCAAATCCCAAAGCTTCAGGGTCCCAGGCCCTTCCCCAGGTCCCCAGTGTGTAGGAAAAGATAGATCCCAGCAGGTGGTCATGATCTGAGGGAAGGGACTCACTCTGAGGGGCTGGCTGTGCTTGGGAGCTCCTAGGGCAGAGGGCAGGGGACCAGCATCCAGCTAGCTTCATGGACCCCAAAAAAGCAAGAGCCCAGGGACTGTGCATCTCCCTTCACAGACCTCTCCCAGATGCCTGGAAATGCATCCAGGTCATACCCCTTGGACTCCCCCCAGTGCTGCCCCTTCCTCCTCTCTCTCAAACGTGTGTAAAGGCTCATTAGGCAGGGATGAGGCACTGTGGGGCCTAGCAGCCCCTCTAGTGCCTTTCTGTTTTTCTGATATGATACCACATTCTAGTCTCTCCCAGGGCTCCTTAGTCCCTTTAGCTTCACTGGGCTTCATTCCCTGCATGCAGGGCTTCTCAAGACCAGAGCTTCCCTGGACAATGGCCACAGACTTTGGCCAGCCCTTCCCTGTACTGGCAGACGTGGCCTCTCCAAGACCCTCAGGAAGGTCAGCCTGAGGTGACCAATGAGGGACTAGAGAGCACAGAGCCGACCCTGGGACGCCAAGGCCTGGGGTCCCAACTGCCACTATATCAGGGTGACCTGGGCCCCCTGCCTTTCCGGTGAGCATCCACGGTGAGGGGCAGTGTCCTGGTCCCTGTCTCCACAGGGCTGCTGGCATGATGGCCACACAAGCTGTCTCCAGGCCCAGGGCCACCTGCCCAGTCAGCTGGCCAGCCAGGCCAGGCCAGGCAGGCAAAGATAAGGCTGGCATGCTGCCATGGCCACAGCCCCCCTTCGGCCCCACACCACCCACGGACACCTCTCAGACAGCAGTGGGCTGCTGCGTCAGGAGGTAGTGTAGGAACAGGAGGAGACGACTGTACTGGGTTCCTGTCCCCCAGAACCATGTGGCCCTGCTCCTTGACCAGCACTCCAAGGATCCCTGCCAGTACCCAGGGCCTGGCTGTCATCCCTACCGAACGGACAAGGAAGCCAAGGCTGGACACACAGGGTCAAGGAGGTGATGGATTCTTGGGCTCCCTCTGTCTGCCCAATTAGAGGGCAGCACCCAGGAGCCACTAGAGGATCCTCTTACTTCCTCCGAGTTCCCTATTCTTGAGGTGGGTTGGGAAGACCCACGGAACCTGCAGCTGAGTATGCAGACAATGTGAGTCCCTAGCAGTCAAGTGATTCCCGGTGCCCCGAGTAGGCCTGAAGACCCCATATCTCAAACCCACTGCATATATCTCTTAGTAAAGGTGTTTTCCCATAATCGAAAGTTCCGGCTATATCTGTACCCACCACTGGGATGGAACCAACTGGCCAAGCAAATTTCTGCCAGGACCAGCAGAAAAGTAGGACCCTGGGATGTTGAGTTCTGACAAGTCAGGAGCAGCTCTGGCCATGAGGACAAGAAGGGAAGGGCCAATCCAGGTTCATGGTGCGCCTCCCTCACCCTCCTCGGCCCTCTTACCACCCCAAGACCTCCCAAGAGAGGAGAAGCTCCTTCAGATCACAGGCAAAAGCTTGTCCAGCACTGCAGCCCAAAAGTACCTCTTGGGGAGAGAAGATTGGGGTGCTGCTTCCAAGAAAGGGGGCATCCACATACAGAGCCTGAGGTGACGCCATCAGTGGGCTGGCAGGGGCACAGGGGCACAGAGCCATTTCACCTCCTGTTTGGGGACAAGGACCTGTACAAGGCTGCTTGCCTCCCTGCTTGGCGGCTCCCAGAGAGCTCTGCTCCCGAGCAGCTCTGCTGACCAATCTCGGGGCTCAGCACCCGCCCCCCTCCGCCCCCGCCCAGGCTAGGTGGGCAGACGACTGTCCAGAACCAGAGCCCTGACAAATGAGTGCTGACTCCCCCTCAAGTCGCTGCGGGACCCGGGAGACCTGCGCGCCCGCGGCAGCCTGCAGGCAACAGGGGCGGGGACGGTGCCCGTC